TTTTTTTTTTTTCAAAAGAACAAAGAAGTAAGAATGAGGCGAAGGAGTTCTGGAATGACCAACTGACTGACGCAATTTCGGAATATGCAACAGGGATCAGCCAGCAGCAAGATTAACTACTAATGTTACAAACTGCTGCTAAGGTACACTTAAGGATTCTTATGACTCGTATTTTCTGGAACATACAAAAACCGCTCAAAAATTAGCGAGAGCATCATATGGTACTGAGAAGTTCTCAAACGGCAGCTATGCTAAGGCCACTGATCCTGGGCTACAAACCCCCAAAAAGCCCTCTACCTAAAATTACATCCGGACATCTCATAGTTAAAGGTCGAATTTACACTCCGATTTTCTGAGAGAAGTTGGGAAACAGTCTGAGGTAAAGCTAAGCCTGCAAAATTAATAACAGCTGTAGTACCATAAAAAAAACCAACCAGTTACGGCGACGATTTGTCCCTGTCGCTGGAAGCCTTCGACGATCATCAGTTTCTGCTGCGGAGAAGTCCGGGCGAATACAATTTCCCGATGATGGGCGATAACATCCGCTAGCTGTTCCTCAGTCATTTCGCGCAAATCAGATCCGTGAATGACAGCAGCTTCCGCTTCATTCGGGTTCACCTCTTCCACAGTGCAGTTACGTTCGATTGCGATGTCTTCAACGGTTTTCGACCCCTCCGAGATAATTCCCACCGATTTGGCAATTGCTTTCGCTGTGATTGGATGATCACCAGTAACCTGGAAATAAATGAAAACTATGCCTTCTCCCGGGATAATAAATGTTAAGGATCTCCAAGGTAAGTACTAAAATCGTTTAGTGCCTCATGAAGAGGTTTCTAACATTCATTCTTACGGCAGACTGGTACGGCACTGTTCAGGCTAGACCGCACTCAAACAATCCCATTCAGCTGTAGTGCTGAATAGGAATATATACGACTTTATGGGCCAGTTGAAAATCGTTATTAATCGGAGTATTTTTTGCTATATTTTCATATTTTTTATACATATCATTTTAATACCTCTATTACGACTCTCAAACGAAAAGTCGAAACCCCCTTCACTATGAGAAATGGAAGTAGCTGAAAGGTAGGTTGGACAAGTAGCAAGTGCCAACAACAATCACCCGTTGGCAAGGTTATCGGCGACTCTTCCTTCAGGAGTTGCCCGGAAGCAAGTTGATGGCGAGTTTGACTTCCTGGCGTATGCCATTATCAATTTACCATCGAAATGAATGAGTGAATTGCAGACGGCCTGTTTGCTTCCAATTCCAAGCACTTTTTCAAAACAGGAAGCTATTAACAATCTTGCAAAAAAGCCACTTATACCCGTCATAAGCAACCATTGTACTTTCTCCACCTTTCACAAGCAGTAAAACAAAACAGAGCTTTCACAGTGACTCATACTCTTCCGTACGTCCATTCTGCTGTGGTCAATTTTACGATTACTTAGTTTTACGTTATCC